GCATGACGTGTCCAAGCCGGAAACTTCTCAGGGCTTTCAGGGCAGGGTCACCTCAAGGCGGCACTAGCTTTTGGTCAGAACATTCCAGTTATGAGTGTGTGCATGTGTGAATACATGAAGTCATCTTTAATGTGCACTGAAAATAGCTGAAGTCTGAGGTTCTCTCTGCTCAAAGGGAAACTTTACAGAATAAGACAGCGACTGGCACTTCAATGGCCAAGTAGAAAAATATCTCTTCCAGTCTTTTATGAAAGGCACTTATGATGGTTCTAGAAATGTGCTTTCTGGCTGTGCTTGTGATGGGTCCTCTCATTGTCACTGCATGCGGGAGGCAGGACAGATTTATTCGAGCAAACCCACACGCTGCTGGTCCCCGTCACACGTTGCAGTTGTCAGCATGTCTGTGTCTGACACCCAAATCCTTCGCTTCCTGAGAGCTGAAACAGACTCTTTGAAAGAAAAACAAAACAAAAAAATGTGCTACAGTGCACCTGTGACTATGCTCACTCTGATTCCTGGTTGAGGTCGTATCCAAACAGCCATTTAACTCCGGTTACATTACAGTCAAAAAGCCACCAGCTGAAACAGGCCCAGGCGCTTTGATACTCTTTTTAAGCTGAAATATCAATCACTGTGATTCAGTGCTTAGATCTGGGAATAGCTAATAGGTCTTGGTGGGGGTGGGGGGGAAGCTGCATCATGATGCCTGATATTAGTGACACACTGCTTTAAAGAGAACAGGAGGAGGAAACACAGCAGCCTTCTCCCCTCTATGGAACAGCAGAGCTCCAAAGAATGGCTTTAAATGGGAGCAGTACAGCTCCCCCCCTGCAGACCTCATTCTGTCATTTGTCCAAGAGCGACAGAAGGCTGGAAGAGAAGATGACCCGGCTGCCCAAACACCATTCCCAATAGCAGCGACCTTCGTCTGGGCTTTGAAGGTGACCCAGCACAGCTTTGACTGACCTCCAGTTAAGTGGCTGAAGAGTGTTTTACATGCAGTGTGTCTGCCTATTGAGGCCTGGGTGAGTGAGCGAGCGAGCAGAAGCTAAAAACGGTATGAATGATACACCACAAAAACAGGGAGAGATCAGCTTTCATATACATACATATATATGTGAGGAGATGAAGGCGCAGCAATATCACATGCTAGGGAAGGACAGTGTGGTGGGGCTTCGTGTTCAGCAGACACATGACTCAGCAAAGCAGTTGCTGTTCCTGGCCTGCATCCCATAATAATAATAATTACTGCAATAATAAATAAGGAGCCTTTTCAGTAAGAGCACAAAGGAGAGGCAGCTGACAAACACATTAGCATGTTTCTGCGCAGATGTTTTAACATCAAGAAAGAGTGTGCATGTGTGTGACCCCAGTGTGATCGTTCCAGTTAGGGTGTGTGTGTGGGAGCCCAGTGCGATCGTTCCAGTTAGGCTTTGTGTGAGCCCAGCGCTATCATTCCAGTTAGGCTGTGTGAGAGCCCTGTGTGATCGTCCCAGTTAGGCTTTGTGTGTGAGCCCAGTGTGATCGTTCCAGTTAGGTTTTGTGTGAGAGCCCAGCGCTATCATTCCAGTTAGGCTGTGTGAGAGCCCTGTGTGAGCGTCCCAGTTAGACTGTAGGTGAGAGGCCAGTGCAATCGTCCCAGTTAGGCTTTGTATGTGTGAGCCCAGCGCAATCATTCCAGTTAGGCTTTGTATGTGTGAGCCCAGCGCAATCATTCAAGTTAGGCTTTGTATGTGTGAGCCCAGCGCAATCATTCCAGTTAGGCTTTGTATGTGTGAGCCCAGCGCAATCATTCCAGTTAGGCTTTGTGTGTGTGTGTGTGTGTGAGAGCCCAGTGTGATCATTCCAGTTAGGCTTTGTGTGTGCGTGTGTGAGAGCCCAGTGTGATCATTCCAGTTAGGCTTTGTGTGTGTGAGAACCCAGTGATGATTCCAGTTAGGCTTTGCGCGTGTGAGAGCCCAGTGTGATTATCCCAGTTAGGCTTTGTGTGTGTGTGTGAGCCCAGCACGATCATTCCAGTTAGGCTGTGTGAGAGCCCAGTGTGATCATCCCATTTAGACTGCATGTGAGAGGCCAGTGCAATCGTCCCAGTTAGGCTTTGTATGTGTGGGAACCCAGCGCGATCATTCCAGTTAGGCTGTGAGAGCCCAGTGCAATCATTCCAGTTAGGCTGTGTGCATGTGGGTGAGCCCAGTGCGATCGTTCTAGTTAGTCTTGGTGTGTCAGTCCAGTGTAATCGTTCCAGTTAGCTTGTGTGTGTGTGTGTGTGTGTGAGCCCCCAGTGCGATCAGTCCAGTTAGAATGTTCGTGTGTGGCAGTCCTGTGTGACTGTTAGGCTGTGCGTGTGTGAGCTCAGTGTGAGCATTCCAATAGGTTGTGTGTGTGCGCGTGCGTGACAGCCCAGTGCCAATGTTGGTGGCCAGACACCAGTTTTAATCTTGTTAGTCCGTGAACCAGACCGGGTAGTACATTCATTAAACAGGTTAAACACAAGACAAAAATAAAAATTTCAGCAAAGTTAGTAAAATTCATACTAAGAATGTTTTATTAAAATAAATGCCAAGGAGGGGTTAATAAGGAAAAAATAACAGCATACACCATGAAAACGAAACGCAAGCATGTAAAAATACTTGTAACAAGAACTAATAGTCACTAATGAGTTAAACAAGCTAGGAACTGGCAAGAAAAGGGACTGAGGGAAGGGAGGCTCCTGACTGACAGGAACAGGGGTTTGGGGGGGGGGGGGGGGGGG